AATGTATGCATGTGTGTGTATGTAATCTGTTTCCCACTACAAGAATTTTGAGACAGGAGCCATATCCCTAAAGCCATATTCCTAAAGCAGTGCCTAGCTCACAGGAGGTCTCCTTAAGCAAACTGCTGAGCGAATAGATTTCATCAACATTTATTGAGCACTGAACACATTGCTGTAGATCCCACAGTATAGAAGACTTTTCTAAAAGACACACAAAAAAATCTAAAGTATGTTTTCATAAAAGTGTCCCCTGAAAGTTAAAAGGTAAATTGAAATGTTCATTTGAGGAAAAAGACCCCTAAAACACAGTCCCTGATTTCCAACTTACTTAAAGAGGACATACAATTGGGGTCCCTGGGTGCTCAGTCAGTTAAGCGGCTGCCTTTGGCTTGGGTCATGATCCTGGGGTCCTGGGATCAAGGCCCCGCACCACATCTGGCTCCCTGCTCAGCGGGGAGTCTTCTCCCCCCACCCCCGCTCCTCCCCCTGCTCATGTTCTCTCATTCTCTCAAATAAAATCTTTAAAAAAAAAGATACACAATTAATTACAATGCAAAGCAGAAATAATAACTGCTCATTGAGCAACAGAACTAAAACGTCTTAAGTGTGATAAGAAAGAAAAGTTCAAATCTGTCCTTGGGGAAAAGTCTGAGTAATCAGAGACTGGTTTACAGAAGGGACCACTGAACTGCTTCTTGGGAGACTAAGCAAGTAGTGATTGGCCAGCACAATTTTCTGGAAGAAGAAAAAACAAGGGCAAAGACAGAGACAAAAAGTTTGGGACACTCCCAAGAATGTTCAAAGGAATTCTAGGGATACTTACTGATTTCACACAGTGTTTCTTCTGCATCAAGTTTTTCTCTCCCCCTAGCCCAGTGTTAAGTGCATAGTTTCGCAGCCTCTACATGTACAGTCCTGGAAATGAACTCAGATCTTCATTGGCACACAAGTAAGATCTTTCTCTCTCTCGCTCGCTCTTTTTTTTTTTTTTTTTAAGGATTTTTATTTATTCATTTGAAAGAGAGAGAGAGCACAAGTTGGGGGCGTGGGTGGAGGGGCTGAGAGAGAAGCAGATTCCCAGCAGAGCAGGGAGCCCGATGCAGGGCTCAATGTGGGGCTCTATCCCAGGACCCCAGGAACATGACCTGAGCCAAAGGCAGACGCTTAACCAACTGAGCCACCCATGCACCCCAACCTTTTTTTCATAAAGGGCTTCACATGTAAAAATTGATATTATCTCCAAATGAGTTAAACATTGAATCCTTCTACATGTGTTTCAAAGTGTTAATTTAATGCAAACTGTTTAAAGTGACCATAATTTTTGCAATAGTGTTAGATTTCTTTACCTTTTGAAAAACCATAAACTTCAAAAAATTGAAGTGTTTCAGGGCTCATTTCACCTGTGAGAGATCCTGTCCCCAGATACCCTCAGCTACCACACATACTACCTTCAATTTCCTGAACACCACTTGGGACTTTCATACCTCAGTGCCTCTGCCCTCCTTGTCCTTCAAGATCTGGCTCCAGGGCGTCTGGGTGGCTCACTTGGTTAAGCGACTGCCTTCGGCTCAGGTGATGATCCTGGAGTCCCAGGATCGAGTCCCGCATCGGGCTCCCTGCTCAGCAGGGAGTCTGCTTCTCCCTCTGACCCAACCCCCTCTCATGCTCGCACTCTCTCTCTCTCTCTCTCTCATTCTCTCTCTCAAATAAATAAATAAAATCTTAAAAAAAAAAAAAAGATCTGGCTCCAAATTCACAGACTCTGAAGGTGCCCCTAGACACTACACTAAATACCATTCTGTTGGGGTGCCTGGGTGGCTCAGTTGTTAAGCGTCTGCCTTCGGCTCCAGTGATGATCCCAGGGTCCTGGGATCGAGCCCCACATCAGGCTCCATGCTTGGCAGGAGCTTCTCCCTCTCCCACTCCCCCTGCTTGTGTTCCCTCTCTCGCTGTCTCTCTCCATCAAATAAATAAATAAAATCTTCAAAAAATAAATAAATACCATTTTGTTATATCACCCAACCCATGGTGGTATAAAGGAGCTCCCAATACATATTTGTGGAATAAATTAGATTCCTTCTAAGGCTTTAGGGGACTTGGAGACTGATGTTACAAGGTAACAGAAAAGCAATGAAAATACTATTAAAAATGACAAAAGATACAAGGTGTCAAGAGACCTTTTGTATTAATAAATATTCTCAGTGTTCACTGGAGAATGAATGGTTCAAAGCCTGATCTTCCTTTTCCTGACTATTCCCCTAAATCTGTGGTTCTCAAGTGTGTCCTCAGCTCAGCAAGAGCAGCATCACATAAAACTTATTAGAAATGCAAATTCTCAGGCACTGCCCAGATCTACAAATCAGAATCTGAGCAAGAGGCCTAGCCATCCATTTTTGGTTTTGTTTTTGTTTTTAAGATTTTAAGTAACCTCTACACCCAATGTGGGGCTTAAACTCAGGACCCCAAGATGAAGAGTTGCATGCTCCACAGGCTGAGTCAGCCAGGCACCCCTACCCATCTGCTTTTACAAGCTTTCCAGGTGATTCTGATGCACACTCCAGTTTGAGAACCACTGATCTAGATCATACTTCTTCATCCTAGGGTTTACAGAATTATTACTGCCAACTTTAATAAACCTCTTCTATTATGGAGTCCAGTTCCCACATCCTCCCTTTTTAGGCAATAGGAGCAATCAATTAAAGAAGGAGAGAAAAGAATACTAGTGTTGTGTGGATTATATAGTCTAGGCATGAGTATTTAGAGTAAGGGGAATAAATGAAGAGGGGTCACAGGCACCGCAAATATTTCAGAAATGGCATCAAGGGGAGTACTGGTTTAAAAAGAAGTTATGGAGGTAGGGGGCACCTGGGCGGTTCAGTCAGTTAAGCCGTCCAGCTCTTGGTTTTGGCTCAGGTCATGATCTCAGGGTAGTGGGATCGAGCCCGGTATAGGGCCCCACAATCAGCGGGGAGTCTGCTTGGGATTCTCTCTGTCCCTCTTCCTCTGCCTCTCACCCCGACTCGTGCTCTTTTTCTCTCTCAAATAAATTAAATCTTTTTTTAAAAAATGAACGTGGGAATTAAGATGACTCACATTCTTACCTTGAGTGCCTTTGTTGGAAATGCCACTAGTAAAAAATAACTCCAACGAGTGAAAAAAGTTTAAGCAGGTTAAGAGATAATTATATCAATTTTAACCTTCCCCCTGAGTGAAGATAACCTAAAATTTTTATTTATTTTTAATTTATTTATTTTTAAAGATTTTATTTGACAGAGAGAGCACAAGCAGGGGGTGTGGCAGGCAGAGGGAGAGAGAGAAGCAGGCTCCCCTCTGAGCAGGGAGCCAGACTCTGGGCTCCATCCCAGGACCCTGGGATCACCACCTGAGCCAAAGGCAGACACTTAACTGGCTGAGCCACCCAAGCGCCCCAAGATGTCTAAAATTTTTAGATGGATGTTTCCAGAAAGCTAGACTGGGTAATAAATAGGGATCGAATCTAAAGATTTGGGAGGCATTCCTATAATGTAATAATTGAAGCCTTGAGGGTAGATAGTATTGCTGAAGGAGAGAACTTAGAAGGACAGAGGGGCCAAGACAGTTCCGCAGAGGGTGCCTGGCATGCAAGGCAGAATAGAGTCCAGTGAAGGAGGGTGGAAAGCCATCAGAGAGGCAGGGGGACCAGGATCCTTAAGTATTACCAAAGTCAGGGGAGGAGAGACAGTCCAGAAAGAGGACATGGTCAGCAATGTCAAATTTGGCAAAGAAACAGAAAGCTGAGAAATAAAAACAAAACAAAAAAATTGATATGATCAGCTAGAACATTAGAAACAGCTTTCCATCGTGCCATTTTAGGCAGGGCAGGTAGGACAGGAGCCATTGGCTCTGGAGATTGGAGAGAATAAATGGTAAGCAAAGTTGAGACAGATGTTTGGGGAAAGAAAGGGAATTTGGGCAACTTCTGAAAGGGACGCCTAGGGCACGGAAATGTTTTTGAGGGTAGGATGAATAAATTATCATCGAGGGATAAGATTGAAGACTTGACAAAGAAGGCTTGTAATGACTCAATGTCGCTGAAGATGAATGACAGAAAACCCACGTCATCATTCTGCTGAAATTCTGCATGAATTTTAACAGGCCAGATCCCATAATTATAGAATCTCAGATTTGTTGTTTTTTTTTTAAGATTTTATTATTTGAGAGAGAGAGAATGAGAGATAGAGAGAACGAGAGGGAAGAGGGTCAGAGGGAGAAGCAGACTCCCTGCTGAGCAGGGAGCCCGATGTGGGACTCGATTCCGGGACTCCAGGATCATGACCTGAGCCGAAGGCAGTCGCTTAACCAACTGAGCCACCCAGGCGTCCAGAATCTCAGATTTGAAAAGGAATTTGGAAGTCATCTAATACTCCCTTTCAGTTCCATCCAGCAAAGGATTGTTTGCTAGTAAATTGCGTGCCTTGCTTAGAGAAATGGGCGAGGTTGTCAAAGGCTCTCAAAATGAAGTGGGGGTACGTAAGCAGCGGTCCAATAGAGCATAGTGGATAAGAAAGTGGCTCAGGGGTTGGTTTGTCCGTTAATCAATCTTTCTTTCTTCCATTTTTTTTTTTTTTTTTTGTAAGTAGGCTCCACGCCCACGACCCTGAGATCAAAAGTCGCCCGCAGGTGTTAATCTTACAACCAAATACTAGACATGTTAGCTGAGCCTAGCTGTCTTGAGTAGCTATCCCTTACTTGTAAAACAGTACCTATCTCATAGACTTGTGATCTTTAAATGATCTGTAGTTTCTCCGTATTGACTGACTTGTAACAATAAGACTATATACAGGTTTTACATTTAAAAGTAAAGAAGGCTCTAAGGGGTGGACGCAGAAGCCTATCTCCTACGGTGTCTCCCTAAGTTTGACCCTGTCCACACCTGGCTGGGCTGCCGGCAACCTCGCGCATGCGCGCGGGTAGCCCTGAGCCGGAAAGTGCCTATGCGGCCGCCAGGTGGCGCCGCTAAGTCACAATTGTACCTCCCTGCTCCCAGAGGCCCTGATTGGGATGTAGGGGTGGAGCCAGCTCCGTGCGCAAGCGCGCTGAGGGCGCGTTCGGTCAAGATGGCGCCTGTGGAGCACGTTGTGGCGGATGCCGGGGCTTTCCTGCTAGACGCGGCTCTGCAGGTACGGAGAGCTACCGCCAAGAGGAGCAGGGTCTGGGTTGGCGACCCCTGAAGTAGTGCGGGAAGTCGGGGGCGCATTGCGTGGTGCGGACAGGTGTGAGCTGGGCGGGTCTCTCCGCAGGACATCGGGAAGAACATCTACACTATCCGGGATGTGGTGAACGAGATTCGGGACAAGGCCACGCGCAGGCGGCTCGCCGTCCTGCCCTACGAGCTGCGTTTCAAGGAGCCCTTCCCAGAATACGTGCGGCTGGGTGAGTGCCTCTGCCCTGGTGTTGATGGCGAAGCCGGGTCTCAGGCTACCCGCTCGGGACCGACTCGGGTGCGAGTTGAGGTCTGGGTATTTATCAGCATTTGATTCAGAAACGGCACGTGCTAGGAGATCATGGTGGCAGAGAGGCTCCCTGGGTCAGGAGTCAGCCAGGCCTTGCCAGTTACTAGCTATGTACAAGTTACTTAATCTTTCTGAGGACGTCCTAATGGTGATTGGTAGGATTTGGTTGAAGGATAAAATGAAAAGCTTTTAGTACAGTGCCTGGTACATAGTAAGTGCCCAATAAATTTTAGCTGCTAATATCAGCTTTTTAGGAAATGTGTTCTTGTTATAAAGCGGAGTTGTTGCGGAGCAGTCCAATAATTTTGTTTCATCACAAACTACAACAGTTATTGACTGTATTAACTTTTAATCCTATTTGGAATCTGAATATCCTATTAATCTGGATTGTTATACTTAGAATCAAAGAATTTTAGACCAGAGAAGAGACCTTCTATTCCAACGTAATACCAAAGTTTAATAAGGAATTCTCACCATTTGCAGACATGCTTTTAGTGACTTTCTCTTAACTTTGTTCTCCTGTTCCTTCCTCTGCACTGGATAAGGAGATCACGGTACACCTAACTGGCATGAATTTTAATGATAGAGAATACAAATGTCTCAACAGTGGGTAGAAAAAAGGAAGTGGATGAAAGTATTAAAAGGGTTTTCTTGGGATGTTGATCCTGAGTTCTTTTTCATACTTTGACTATGGTTACCCAAGGTCATATGGCTTTTTGTTTCTAATTTGAGTTGGGACTCTCTTTACAGTGACTGAGTTTTCAAAGAAAACTGGAGACTATCCCAGCCTCTCTGCCACAGATATCCAGGTGCTGGCACTCACCTATCAGTTAGAAGCAGAGTTTGTTGGGGTGACTCACCTAAAACAAGAACCGGAAAAGGTAAATCAATAGGATTATTAGTTTTCTTCCTTTTAACTTTTTTATTCTGGGAACCATCAGATATACAGAAGTAGAGGGAATAGTCTGATGGACCCAGTTTCCGGATTACTCTGTCTCCACACTTATCAAGTCATGATTTATCAGGTTTCATTTCTACTGACACCCAGCCCTTAGTATTTTGAACTCATTGTATTTCATTGATATTTCTTGGTGTCTCTCTTTAAAAGCAAAAAAAACCCCCACAAAATCGTTACACAAAATTAATAGTAATTCCCTAATACTGTTAAATGTCCACCTGGTGTTCACATTTCCTAATTATTTTACAATTTTTTTTAACAAATGCGTCTCAGTCTCTTTTGATCTGTAGGTTTTTAGGAAGGGTTGGTCAAATTTGGAAAATGCAGAAATAGAGCAAAAATCAACTATATTCTTGCTATTTTTTAAAATAGGTTTCTTTCCAAAAGCAAGAAAGAACACCATGTGCTTGCCCTTTTTTTTTTATTTTTTTATTTTTATTTTTTAAAGATTTTATTTATTTGACAGAGAGAGACACAGCAAGAGAGGGAACACAAGCAGGGGGAGTGGGAGAGGGAGAAGCAGGCCTCCCGCAGAGCAGGGAGCCTGATGCGGGGCTCGATCCCAGGACCCTGGGATCATGACCTGAGCCGAAGGCAGACGCTTAACGACTGAGCCACCCAGGTGCCCCTGCCCTTTTTTTTTTTAAACTCTTGCCACCTTCAAAATTCTAGATTTCTATTGTACTTTTAGGGACTTGCCCCCATTGGCTAGGTTGAAGAGACTAATTGATTAGTGGCTGGGTCCTATTGGCTTTTTCCACACCAAAAGATTTTAGAAGCCAAATAATCATGTAATAATTTCAAATAGTGTTAACTAAGAATTGCTTGATATTCTCTGTCTAAAGTCATCAAAAGTCTTCTGAACTCACATTTGTGTACGAATTGGAACTGCCATTACTTGTTTTCAACCAGGTTTAGAGTCCTCTAATCCAAAGAGTCTAAAACTGATGTGTAAAACACAGATTTCTGTGTGTCACCAAAATGTTTTAGGGAGACAGGGTAAAGGGAAACATAAAGCCGGAGTCTGTGACTGAGCACAGTGTGACTAGTATCTGGGTTTCCATTTGGCATCCATCAATTCATGATTCCTAAAAATTGCCCTTTTCCTGCAGCCTATTGGGCAGAGATTAGGTTTTTTGTTTTTTGTTTTTTTAAGTAAATTCCATGTGGGGCTTGAACTCATGATCAAGAGTCTCCTCCTGTACCCACTGAGGAAGCCAGGCCCCCAGGAGTTAGATATTTTGTATCAGAAGCTTTAAAACAGTGTATTTTTTAAAAAATAATACAGTATCTTTTGACCCAGCAATTCCATTCCTAGGCATTTATCCTAAGTATGTAACTAAAGATACATGCAAGTTTTATAAGTAATGCTGTTCATCACAGCGTTATTTATGTGGACAAAAAGGAAATGTTCTAAAGTGGTTATTTGGTATTTGTGGGATCACTGAATAATTATTTTTATGTTTCCCAATTCTCAATAACTGTGGGGAAGATATCTTGTTTTCTATTCATTTTAGTTACTCTCTCAGGGCAAATTTTTAAACTGTGTATTTCTCTGCTTAGAGCTCTCACTTTTTTCTTTTTAAAGGTTAAAGTGAGCTTATCAAGTCAGCACCCAGAAACTCCTCTACACATTTCTGGTTTCCATCTGCCCTCAAAGGTAATTGGTTAGACAAGCCACACTCTCCTGCCCTCTTGTGCTACATAGCTCCACAAATTATGTACAGTGAGCCACATTTATCTAGACTACTATCCTAGGTTGTCCAGTCCTGTCTGATCGGACTTGTGTCATCTGTCATTCCATCTATAATCCTCTCAGTTTTTAGGTTTTAAAATCCTTATTCTTTTAACCTCAGCCTAAACCCCCACGAGAAACACTACAACATGGACACCCAGCTGGTGAGCCCGAGAACCTAGAATTCAGTTCCTTCATGTTCTGGAGAAACCCTTTGCCTAATATTGATCATGAACTGCAGGAGCTGCTGGTAAGGCCCTGATGTGTGATCCCCTGATGACAGCACACCAGCTTCTTAACTGCTCTTCCTGTGGGCTGGGACTCTGTGACTTCCGTTGTTTCAGATGGACAAAGGTGATGATGTTCCAAGTGCAGAGGAGGAGGAGGAGGAGGAAGAGGCTGGATTTGAAGAAAGGAAACAGGAAGATAGTGACGACGATGGGGGTGGCTGGATAACCCCCGGCAACATCATGCAGATCCAGCGGGAGGCGGAGCAGTGTGCCGTCCCGAAGGACGTGCGGGTTGGCTGCGTGACTACAGACTTCGCCGTGCAGGTGGGTGGATGGGCGGCGGCCGGCCCTAGGCTCTAGTTCAGAACCTGTCAGGAGCAGGGGTCCCTCTGAGGTTTAGGGGTATGTACAGCTCTACTCTGAGGCTTCTTTTCCTGGTTCTTGAAACTTCACTCGTGCTATTTATTTATAGTTTATTTTCTAGTTTTGGTTTGAAACTAGAAAGTCAATATAGTGACAAAATCTGTATCTTGTATTAAGTTTTTAATGTTTACTATGGATGGTCTGTTGATGGTTCTCGTTCTGTATGTTTCATGTTCTGTTCTCAGGTTCTTGGAAAAAGTAGAGGTTTCCAGCTCCCAAAAGAGTGTCTTGCCTTTGACAAGATAAATGTCTTTGTTAAGAGAGATTGCTAGTGAGGGGCCCTGGGCAAAACACCTGGGCCCTTGAAATACAAGAGAAATCTATCTAGGTCCCTTTCCTAGTCTGTGTGTCTTGAGAGGCCTCCTAAGCTTACTCTCCCTTAGCGGAAGCCCCTTAGAACCAAACCAGGCTTTGTGAAGTCCTTTCACTGTGATTATACGGATATTAAAAGAAACTTTGGTTTTGCTGACTTCGGTTGCGCTTTGACTTGTTGGTCGCAGAACGTCCTGCTTCAGATGGGGCTGCACGCGCTGGCGGTGAACGGCCTGCTGATCCGCGAGGCCCGGAGCTACATCCTGCGCTGCCACGGCTGTTTCAGGTACGCGGCTGGTGGTCTGGACCCACGGCCTCTGTGGAACACTTTTCTCTCCTGTCCTTTCGGCCAGTCTTCAGAAGGATGGCCTCGTGTTCAGGTTTTCCTCCACCTTGTCCTTCATATGTGGCTAGGTTCGGTCCTCACCATAGCACTGAAACCTCTGGGACAGTAAGCTCCTGCTTATTATCTTAGTCGTAGGAATAAAGGTGTGGATTGTGGAGCAGAGAGCCCTCATCATTTAACCATACGTACTGAAACATTGATGGATGAAATGATGCCTGGGACTTGCTTTGAAATAATACACAGGTGGGAATAGTGGGTGGGGGTAGAGATAGAACCTGATGGTTGTTGAAGCTGGGTGAGGGGCCCATGGGGGTTCATTGTGCTCTTTGGTCTACTTTATGTTTAGATTTTCTGTTTAAAAACAAAAAAAAAGGTGGAATGGATTCAGATTACACAGGTTCGGATCCAGATTGTCTCACAGTAGCTTTACAAAAGTTGGTGAACTTCTCAGTGCTTCAGATTTTTCTTGCATAAAATCGAAAAAGCTGATTGTCCGAGAAGAGTGTGATACCTGGAACACAGGACAGGGTGCACTCAGGTGAACTGTTAGTTCACAGACCATGCCCTTCTCTTCCATTTCTCTTCTGGCTCTTGAAGTGGTCCTTGTGTGGGGGTGGTGTTCTGTGGGCAGGCCCCAGGGTCCTGGAGACCTGCTTGGAGCAGACGAGACTGTACTACAGCTGTTGCCAGTGACCATCGCCCTGGGATCTTACGCTGCAGTGGCTGAGAGCCTCTCCGTAGATTCGGTCTAGATTTGGTGGCCATCATGTAGATCATCTCGTGGAGCAGCAAGGTGTCCTTAGTGCTGGGTCCCTAATGCTGTTCCACTGAGGATAAAGTTGCCTAGATGGACCACTGCTCCCCTGCTGGCTTCAAGACAACCAGTCACTCATGGCCCAGGGGCCCTGCCCCACCCCCAGCCTCCACAGGTCTGCCTGTGATGTAGGGAGCCACTTCTCAAAGCTTCCTCTGCATTCTTCTCCATCTTCAGTATGTAAATGTACCACACATAGGACAGTAAAGCGCCTGGCTTCAAGAAAGCCCATTTCCCCCATTGCCCTTTGCTACAAAACCCCAAGTTCCCCAAATGAACACGCCTTCTTAGCAGCTCTTAGAAACATTCTCCATTCTTATGAGATTAGCCCAGTGATTGGATGGTTTCTTACACAGGATGATTAGTTCCTAGCATCTGTTGAGAGGTGCTTGGTTTCCTCTCGGAGACTTGCAGGTCAAGGGGTTCAGCTTTTCAGGAGATTCATATTGCTCATCCCCTGACCCCTGGGAATGGAGGGGGAGTTCCTCAAGGACACGTATAAACACTGCCACTTGGTCCTTGACAGCAGTGGCTTTCTTGTCCAGGGTCCCTGTTGGGGCTTGAATGCATAGGGGCAAGGCGAGGCCTCAGGGCCTGCCCTCAGCACCCACAGCCATTCAACTCTGGCAGCTCTCCAGTGTTTCCTGTGTCGTTCATTAATACGTTCTTGGCACTTTGGGAGCCACCTGCTGGCTTCACAGCCCAGCTGCCATCTCAGGAATATGCCCCTGGACTAAGTACCATGATGTTAGGAGCACTGACTGGAGCCAGGTTCCCCGGGCTTGTATCTGCCACTCACTAGCTCTGTGACCTTGAATACGCTACCATATCTTGCCTTGGTTTCCCCATCTGTAATATGAACATAATGCCAACTCCATAGGATTGTTTTGATGTTAAACTTGTGGAATAATGCCTAACAGTTCAGTAAGACTTCATTACTAGTTTAACAACATCCGCTCAACTTCCATGTTTAAGGACTCACTGCCTGTGTCACTTCTTTCACCTTTGCCCTCAGCGCAGCGGGGTGGCTTGCTTGTATCGGCGGCACGAGGCCAGGCGGCCGTGGTCTGTCATGCGTCGGGGGCCGTTCAGCCTCCCCCCGTTCCTTGTCGCTTCGTCCTCCTCTGACACCCGTGACTCACCTTGTGCTCCAGGGATGGGGTTTGCCCTCCATGGCTTCCGTGCAGAGCCTTTCTTTTTCTGTCTCCAGAACCACATCTGACATGAGCCGAGTGTTCTGTTCGCATTGTGGAAACAAGACCCTGAAGAAGGTGTCCGTGACCGTCAGTGACGACGGAAGCCTGTGCATGCACTTCTCCCGCAACCCGAAGGTGCTGAACCCTCGGGGCCTCCGGGTAAGTGGCAGCATTCCCTTCCCCTCGCAGCTGGGCCTGAGGCTGGGAAAGCAAGACCTCTTAGCACCAGGATCAAAATCCACAGAGAGGACCAAGAACGGCTTGGCATTTAACTGTCCCTCTGATTCCCTGAACCCAGCCTTACTTTATGGCACAAGATGGTCTGGCGCGCTTCTGATTCCGTCCCTGCCCTAGCATCAGCCATTTCTCTGTGGAGCTCGGATTCCTTACCGAGAGAGGGGTTTTGAAACAAAGAGCTGAGCACAGGGTGGGCTCATTGCCCTAGGGGGTCGGAGATGTCTCAGCCCACGGGGGACAGATTGTAAACCAACGCATGTGTATGTAAATATACATGGGAATATTTTCTATTCCGTATCTGATTTTATTTATTTATTTATTTATTTAATTTTATTTATTTATTTGAGAGAATGAGAGAGAGAGAGAGCATGAGAGGGGTTTGGGTCAGAGGGAGAAGCAGACTCCCTGCTGAGCAGGGAGCCCGATGCGGGACTCGATCCCGGGACTCCAGGATCATGACCTGAGCTGAAGGCAGTCGCTTAACCAACTGAGCCACCCAGGCGCCCCCGTATCTGTATTTTAAAATGAGTTTTTAGGGCACCTGGGTGGCTCAGTCGTTAAGCGTCTGCCTTCGGCTCAGGTCATGATCCCAGGGTCCTGGGATCGAGTCCCACATCAGGCTCCCTGCTCAGCAGGAAGCCTGCTTCTCCCTCTCCCACTCCCCCTGCTTGTGTTCCTGCTCTGTCTCTCTCTGTCAAATAAATAAATAAAATCTTTAAAAAATAAATGAGTTTTTAAGTTCTATTTCAACCCAACAGAGTTCATCGTATCCCTCCCTCATATCTTGACACCATTTTCCACCATTATTTGCTCAATCTGGAATTCTCATTTCAGAATTACTAACCCACAGCAGTGAAAATGGTACCTGCTTAGTAGAGTTCGGTGTTTGGAGGTGACTCCATTGCTAGCTGAGGGCGTGTCCCCACAGCACGAGTAGCAGTGAGTGATACGCTCCACTCACGTCATCTCTCTGCATCCAGAGCCGTCAGTACAGTTGACATTAATAAGATCAGACGTGTTTGAATAGGGTGCCCCATCCTAATGGCCTTTTCTCCTCTCATTTGCAGTATTCACTTCCCACTCCCAAAGGGGGCAAATACGCCATCAACCCCCATCTGACCGAGGACCAGCGCTTCCCTCAGCTGAGACTCTCCCGGAAGGCCAGGCAGAAAACGGACGTGTTTGCTCCTGACTACATAGCTGGGGTATCTCCTTTTGCGGAGAATGACATCTCCAGCCGGTCCGCCACCCTGCAGATCCGAGACAACACCTTGGGAGCAGGGAGGAGGCGGTTAAATCCCAATGCTTCCAGAAAGAAGTTTGTGAAGAAGAGGTGAAGCGCAAGCTCTATGGGGCCGACAGGATTGCCACTGCAGCTGCTGAGGTGCTCAGGGGCCTCATTTCCCCAGCCGTCAGGCTTCAGAACCATGTGGGTGGACACAGTAGCCCTGGCTTATGCGGTGCTGCTTCCTGGCTCCCTGGGATGGGTCGGGTTGGGTTCGTGATGGAACTGGGCCATCCCTTGGCCTGCAAGCATCCAGAGAGCTGGGATTCCTGCCATGTTGAGGGGAGTTTGACAGAAACAGAATGGTGCCGCGGAGCACATCCTCAGCATTCAAAGAAAGGAACTTCCAGCTGGTACTATTTTTCTAATAAATGTGGTTATAAGCTTCTGTGTCTTTTCATTAAGTTGCCAAATGTTTGCTTCTTAGGTAATTGGAAGGTAGCACCTGAGCTGTATACTCAAGCATTTAGATTTTTTTTTTTTACAAGAAAATATACTAAGTTTGTTATAATAAACCTAAGAGCTACTATTTTTTCTTTTTTACAACTTATTCTTGGGACACCTGGGTGGCTCAGTTGGTTAAGCGTCTGCCTTTGGCTCAGGTCATGATCCCAGGGTCCTGGAATGGAGTCCTGCATCGGGCTCCCTGCTCAGCAGGGAATCTGCTTCTCCCCCTGCCTGCCACTCCCCCTGCTTGTGCATGCACATACCTCTCTGTCATATAAATAAATACAATCTTTTAATATCCTGAGGCATTTCAGTCATTCAAGAGAGTTTTAGTATAGTGAACTGCTACAGCCTTCCACCTAGATTCACTCTTACTTTGCCTTTTCTTTTTCTCTTCCTACACCCATGAGTACATCAGGAATCTCCTAGGGAAAGGATGTTCTTTGCATAAATTCAGGAAACAACATGGATATATAACTTACTGATACAGAGCAGAACTCAGTTTTTTCCAGATTGTTCACCGTCCTTCCTATCATTTCCTGTTTCTGAACACTTTTAAAAAAGATTTATGTAGGGTGCCTGGGTGGCTCAGTTGGTTAAGCAACTGCCTTCGGCTCAGGTCATGATCCTGGAGTCCTGGGATCGAGTCCCGCATCGGGCTCCCTGCTCGGCAGGGAGTCTGCTTCTCCCTCTGACCCTCTTCCCTCTCGTGCTCTCTATCTCTCATTCTCTCTCTCTCTCAAATAAATAAAAAAAAAAATCTTTAAAAAAAAGATTTATGTATTTTAGTGAGAGAGGGGCAGAAGGAGAGAGAGTTTCAAGCTGACTCCACGCTGAGCGCAGAGCCCGACATGGGGCTCAGACCCACGACCCTGAGATCATAACCTGAGTGGCAACCAATAGGGGGACATTTAACCTACTGTGCCACCCAGGTGCCCCTGAACACTTTAACCCATGTCTTGTGCAGTTGACATTTTTAATAGTACAAACCATGTTTTTTTAAATGTCCCTCCATTTGGGTTTGACAGATTGCATAACCTCAAGCAAATTTAGGGGGAAGCACTTTGGGCAAGAATGTTCCATGAGTGATAGGTATACAGGGTATCATGGTAAGTGATGTTAACTTTGATTACTTGGGATATGAACCTGACTACAAGATTTTTTCAAAATTCTGTACACTGATAGTATATATACAAAGTGTATAGTAATCTTTAAAAGCTCCTTAATTAGGTTATTTTCTTGTATGGGTATCTTGGGCATATAGTTAAATTGAATTTAAACCAAGAACATGAAGGTTTTTCCTATCCTATTTAAGTAAACACGGGTTCCAAAAAAAAACCGAAAGGTACATATAGAGCTAGATGCATTCCGTCCCCTCCCGCTTCACCTTAACCCATATAGGTCATTGGTTTTGTTTTTTATTCATCCTTGTTTTGTTTTGCAAAAATAAGCATCTGTGTGTATTATATCAATTTTTTAAGATTTTTAAGTAATCTCTACACCCAACATGGGACTTGAACTCACAACCCTGAGATCAAGAGTCCCATGTTCCACCGACAAGCCAGCTAGGTGCCCCAACTTTTTTCGTACACTAATAGTAGTAGGGGCACTCGGCTGGCTCAGTCCGTGGAACGTGCGACTTTATCTCGGGGTTGTAGGTTTGAGCCCCACATTAGGTATAGAGATTACTTAAAATTCTTTTTTTTTTAAGATTTTATTTATTTGACAGAAAGAGAGGGAGAGAGGGAACACAAGCAGGGGGAGTGGGAGAGGGAGAAGCAGGCTTCACGCTGAGCAAGGAGCCCGATGTGGGGCTCGATCCTAGGACCCTGGGGTCATGACCTGAGCCGAAGGCAGACGCTTACTGACTGAGCCACCCAGGTGCCCCTTAAAATCTTTTTTTAAAAAAGTAGTATACTATATTCTCCCCCCCCAACCCCGCCCCGGGAAATTACTCCATATCCATTCATAGAGATCTTATTCTTATCGCTCTGTCATGAAAAGCTACCAGTTCAGGCACTTCATCATGTTACAGGCTCTGGGTTGAGTATGTAATCCACGTTCACCCACTTACTGGGTAGGACACTGTTAACGAGGTGCGGGTGCTGTCAACAGCAGTCTTCTACACGAGATTAAATGCCTGAAAGTCACAGAGCTTGTGAGCATCCAGGCCAAGGTTTCAGCTTAGTCTGTCTGCTTTTATGCAACAAACGGACCAGGGGAGACCAGAGGAAACAGGATGAACACTAGCTCCCCTGCCCTGCATCTCTGAAACTCACGGGGGGGGGGGGGGGCGCAGCTGGGGGGCTGGCTGAAAGCTGCGGTCCAGGGTGCTGGAGCAGAGGGCAGTAAGGGAGAGAGCCTGTGAGAGTCCGTTTCTTTCTCCTCCTACTGTCAGACTTACAGAAAAGCAGGGGGTAGTGTAATACCCGTGTGCCCAATGTAGAGGCGAATTTTAGGCAACCAACTTGAACAATGGAAACCTGAGTCAGGTAGAAGGACCCATAGGGACCCCCAACCCCCAACCACCCCATCCCCACTGCTACATACAAACAGGCCCATCAGGCGACCCACCACAAAATATCCCTAAGTCCTAGCTGACCTGCAGGTTACTTACACCCGGACACAGGTACCAGAAAAGGAGAATTCCCTAGGTTCCCATACCTCCTCACCTCCCTTGTCTTGGAACCAAAAGGCTGCTCTGGTCCCACCCAGCAAAGCAAACCTCAGAATGTGCTTCTCACAGTTCACCAGCCAGAGCTAGTCCTGTGGCCCCACCCAATCAGGTAGGACGAAGAAATGCAATCCTGATCAACAGCCAGAAGGTAGGATGCTAGAAATACTTGGTGAATAGCATTAGTCAAAACCACAAATTGTAGAGATAAATACAAGTGGCTTTGAAATAAACTTGGGAGCAGGAACAATAGGGTAAAATGTTGTAAGTGTGTGCATAGCAAGTTTTTTTTTTTTTTAAGATTTTATTTATTCATTTGACAGAGACACAGTGAGAGAGGGAACACAAGCAGGGGGAGTGGGAAAGGGAGAAGCAGGCTTCCCGCTGAGCAGGGAGCCCAATGCAGGGCTCGATCCCAGGACCCTGGGATCATGACCTGAGCTGAAGGCAGTCGCCCAACCAACCGAGCCACCCAAGCGCCCCAGCAAGTTGTTAATTCCAGTGTTTAAGGCCTTGGACTTGAAGTTTTAAAAGCTTAAGAACTTTTATATAAAAGTTATCCTTGAGAATTTTGATTGCTAATTTAGGACATGTGAAACTCGTATTTAACCCAAATCTTACTGGCAACCTTGAATCACACTTTTAATTGTTAATAATTAATAAGATAATTCTGAGATAGGGAAACAGAAGGACTCCATAAAAATCTGCTTTTTGCTCCTTTTCCTGCTTCTATTCTTGCCAGGACATGCACCCCATCACCCCACTTTACACAGGCCTCAATGTCCTCCTTGTCAGGGACAAGGAGTTAATGATTGCTTTAGAATAGATAACATCTAAGGAAGGGCCAGTTGACCCCACAAAGCCATCATATGTACATTCCAGACCAAGGGAGCTAAATATCTCGATGCCAAGTACCTCTACTCCAAAGAATAATACCTGGGCCCTCATCTTTGTTCTAACAGGTTCCTGGATGCCTGAAAGCCCATGTACACTGGACCACAATCCTCCCTAAAAACCCCCAGACCCTGAACAAAGAGGAAACTCATGCTCCTTTCCTTTCCAAGTCTCCCAGACACAACGCCTGTAATCTGTTCTCTATCTTCAATAAGCTCTGCTGGCTTGCATCAAATTTCTATCACGCATGAAGCCAAGGACCCTCTTGTCTAGTCCTGAAGGACCCCCTCTGGGTCACCAGATCAAGCCTGCCAGCATCAATTCTATACTGCTATCTTCTTTAATACAAGATACACTTAATAGCAGTGTCAGTGACATTTCCAAAACACCCCCCGGGAAAGAGTACCACTGTAATCCACAATCAAGCAGCAAATGCAAAACCCTGGGACATCTGGAAGACTAGCCCCCAAATTTACTATTTTCACCCCAGTACACATGGACAGGGAGATAGCTAGAGTGGAAATGAATGCCGTGTCTAGCTCACTGTGTTTGCGTGTTCACATGTTTGGAGGTAAATTCTCATAAATGCAACCTTTCTGCATTATTAAGACAACGATGAAACTGTAATTCCGGGACCCATGATGACACAGAGGTATGGTGTACATTTACCACACTAATAATGAGCTGTTCACATGTCTGCACACTTAGGAACTGGGTGGGGTTTATCTTTCTACACCCTTCGTGAGGCTCATTGCCAGGTTCTGGAATGATGTTTAATAAAGGCTTGTAAAATTGAATGCATGACTCACACCGGTCTGGAGAAAATAATCAAGAGACAGGGAATGCTTTTCCCTAACTTTTCTTATAGTTTGCTCTTGGAAATTACAGACAAGTTCCCTGCCCCCAAAGGTGTTCATGCCAGAGCTGAAGAGTTACTAGTGGGATGTGCGATAAAAAGTATCAAGCAATGAAAATGGGGTCCCTTCTATACCTTAAACTCTGTGATCTGACGCCAGAACTCCATTTGCTCTATCAGATAATATCTCTTCACAACACATGCATACCATTTCAAGAGAAATTTCAGTTTACCCAGAGCTGTCTAAGC